CTTTTTCGCACGCTTCCCACACCCTGAATTTATGTGCGTGCTCTGGTTAGGCGCCGCTTTCGCAAACGACCTTCGATTAAGGATGACATTACGCAATTTGCTGCCAGCAGATCAATGTTGGTTGCTGTTTTTTAAGACCTCATAAGTGCGGCTTCTCATTGGAGCAATGCGGCTCTTTGGTTCATGAGTTTGACCAATTCCTCCCCATCTGGAGTCAGGAAAACTTCTGGCAACCATTTTGTTCCACTTCGAGTCCCAGGGTTCGACTTTTTGGCCTGGGTCCTATTGCCGCCAACTAGTTTGGCTAAACCAATGTAACTCATCCAAGAATGCAATACGTGTTGGTTTGCGTACCAACTTAACCCTCACTAAAATCCGCTTATCGTGCGACATTGCATCTCGTTGAGCTCACTGCGAGCCGATAGCGTGCGGTGATGCCTGGCCAGTTCCCAGTGAAGACATTGAACTCTTGACTGTGTTTGACCACCGGTACTTACGGGGCATTTTTCACGTCTGATGGGAGCATCGGGTGAGCAATACTGTGGTCCGCAAGTTTGTGTTGCCAAGAAACTTAAGGATGCCTCACTCGAGTGTTTGCAGCATCGTACTCTCTTACGTTGGCCAACTCATGTCATCTATATGCCCGTTAACCAGCTTCCTCGGCGTCCATTTTACGCCGTCCCTGCACCAGGGATATATATATATATATATATATATATATATATATATATATATATATATATATAATGTGATTGGCGGCATCCGGTTCCGGAGTTACCTGTCACTGTGGTCTCCATCGGACAACCACAAGCCGCCTGCGCCTACAGAGGGACCATGAGTGGCTTGCGCTTCACCACCCACAACCCCGGCCCACACTCCTTCACAGACAAACACAAGCACGCTGTAGTTGGGGAATCAGGGACACACAATGCGGTCGCTGGACTGTAGTCCGCTCCAAACTGAGTGCATGGGACCACTCTTCGAGCCTAGCACTGCCACAAGGACCATGCATCCCGTCCACTCCAACAACGACAACTGTCTCCTGGAGGCAGTATATACGATATAGTAGGTGATAGACAGGTAGATGCCTTGTCAACGTGCACATCAAATGCAACCATACCGGGGATGTCAAGCAACAGCCAATCACTTGAACTGCGAGCAGCAAATAATATATGTCGACCATAGCATACGGAAATGCTGACCTAAATCTACGCTAAATAAACATAAATAATAAATTGGTTACCAACAAATCCACGGTAAGTGCAAGATGTCAGAAAGTATATTCTAAAAATGCCACAAATTCGAAGATGTTACCGAACTTGACCTTAATTAGCTTGAACAACGTGTGCCAGTTCAGGTGAACGTTAAAACGAGGGAAAACTGCATTGAGACACAATAGCAACCCACCACCTGAAATAAAGAAACTCAACACTCAAACACGCGGTTAGTAAATCAAATGCAGCGTACCTACAAACGCTGCGCCGGTTCTGCCTACGTTCTCTGCAGGACCCGTCGTCGTTTCCATGCTGGTCCAGAGTGGCCTGGCTCGTGACTCACTAGGCCTGCCTGATTCAAGCACTTGCGACCGCATGTGCTACAGCACCATGCGCTCGAGGTCGATGAAGTACATCCCATCGGCGTCTGTCGCTTCCGCACTTACCGCTTCTTCTGTGCGTGCACGAGGAATTTCTCTTGCACTTCGGCAACGGCCTTCGTGATCAGATCCCGCCATGCATGCTGATCAACCGTTCTCGATTCCCATGATCTGCAGTCAACATCAGGAGGTGATAGGCTCACTTTGACCGTGTCCTGGTATCCTTCGGTCTTCCACATGCCGCTTCCCCACACTCAGCTGACCATAGAATAGTTGTTTCGGTATCCGCGTCAATTCCATACGCCACACATAACCGATCTACCTTGAGTGTCTCAGCAAATATTTGCAGTCCACCGCATACATTCCACTTAGGCTTAACAGTTCTGTGCCTGCAACTCTGTCGCTCCATCAGATGCGCAGAATCCGTCGCAAACACTGTTGATGAAATCGCTCGAGATATCGCATATCCCGCCGGTACATCGTCCACGTTTCGCTACCGTATAGAAGAACGGACAGCACCATGGATTTGTACACCATCAGCTTCTTGCCAATGGTAAGCTAGTGGTTGTTCCACACTCGGTACTCTAGTTTCCCGAATGTCACCGCTGTCTTCGAGAGGCGGATACGCAGCTCACTGTGTAATTGCTGGTCAGTCCACATCACACTCCCATGGTAGCAGAAGCAGGAGGTGATGTCCAATACTTCAGCACCAATGCTGATTCTTGGCAATATTGAAGATTGCACCTCCGGTGAAGGCTGAGAGACGGACAGTTTTGCTCGTGCTGACGCTGAGCCAGAATTTGGCCGCTGTCGAAGCCAGAGCACTAGTCTTGTGCTGCAACTCATCCGCGCTGTGTGAAAACAACGCACAGTCTTCAGGGAACAGCAGCATACATATATTTGTCTCGCAGACTAGGCTTTTCGCACCGAAACGACGGATGTTCGGCAACCCACCATCGATACAGTGCTCCACACGAACACCGTAAGCACAAGCGGCATCAAAGGCAAAGACAAAATTTTAAACAGGGTAGGAGCTAAGACACAGGCTTGCTTTACATCAGAGACAACTGTAAAGTCATCCGAGGTCTCTCCACTCAGCTGCACCCTTGCCCGCATACCACTGTGCAGACATTGAAATAAACTTACTCGGGCAACCAAACTTGGCCAACACCAGCCACAGTGCCTCAAGGTTCACCATATCAAATGCTTTAGTGAAATCATATTAATGAACTGGGAATATTTGCTTTGCGAAAGACCAGCATTGCCTTTGATTTATTGAAAGTCAGCAGACAGTAAGTACAATGGCTGGTGTCGTTTTCTGCACTTCTGCTGCAGCTTTCGAACCGCAAACATCATAACTATGGTACTACGGCCCGAACGGAATGCACATTGCTCTTCCACCTTATATATATATATATATACATATATATATATATATATATATATATATATATATATATATAATCAGCAGAGGTCTATTAGATAATCATAGAGCCGGCGCAAAGCCTGAACTCTAAGTGATAATTACAGAGTCCACCAAGAAGAAACTGGGATGAAAGTTACAAAAAGTGTTTTTTGTTTTTTATTCTTGTTTGCCTTCTTTTTTTTATCTGTTTAATATTTGCGATGTAAGTCAAGCAAATCAAGACGAACATTTGTACACATTTTCCGTTGTGCCCGATTCTGCGCCATCTCCGAAAGACTCACGGGAGCTATGACATTACACTAGAAGTCAGTGTTTTTAGCATTTGTCGCAACGTGACGGGCTGCTCACCGCACCATTTCTTCTAGTCTGCTTGTGCGCGAGCGAACAGAGCGCGTCGGGGCAGCCGTTCGTGTGACATGCGCAAAACATTGCCCAGCCATCTCATTTGATGCAGCGGAAGATGAGCCGGCTATATCATAGTCAACTGACAATCACGCAGGTTCGCGGCTGTCACTCATGGCGAAGTGGCACTAGCTGCTGGCATCCAGAAGTCATGGGGGCGTAACCCGGCGGCGGTCTGCTGGGAGGCGCACCACTGACGAGACCCAAAAGGTCTAAACCCTGGCGCCTGGTGCTTTTCCAGACTATCCTAAGCATGCTGATTGAGAGTGGCAATAATGAACTGACAACGGTACCAGTCTGTCAAGTGTAAGTCCTGTGTTACCCGAGACACCACGTCTAACATGGTCGTTTCAAACGTGGTTCATCCTCCACACCCGAGCAATTCTCCGTAATCGTCCATTGTCAAAGGCTGAAATCCAACGCAAGTCATTCACAGGAATCGGCCATGACTCACTCCCATACAGCAGCCTCGCGCGAACACAGGCATTGTAGTTCCTTTTTTTGCCAATAGTGAAACGTCACAGCGTCGCCACAGACGCCTCAGGTTGGCAAACACCGAACGGGCCTTGGCAGTAAAGAGGGAAGTTTCTCTTCCATCATCTACCATCAGTAGAGACACTACTACCCAGGTAAACAAAATTGTCCACTTGTTCAAGCTGCGTACCTTGAAGAGTGAACGCTGGGGCAGGTGGGTGTCAATCCAGGACCAGGACTTTGCATTGCGGTGGGGCAAAGGTTACTCCATATGTTGGTGCTTCAGTTGCCAAGCGGTTTAGAAGGGCCTATGTATTCTGCGCGTCTGCACCAAGCAAGGCAATATCATCAGCATAATCTAACTCGGTTACCGGGTTGTCTGGAAGAAGCTCTACACCACAACCCTGAATGCTCTCGAGAGCGTTTCATCGGACATCATCGATCGCAAAATTGAAGTGAAACGCGAACATGGAGCAGCCATATCTTGCATCGCACAAAGTTTGGCAAAACCGCGAGGTGACCAATCCATGACGTGGCATTGAGGCTTGAAGAAATCGATTGGTTAGGCTGGTGCGTGCCGTCTTCGTGGATGGGAGCCTCGGGACGTTCCACACCAATAGTTCGAGATCCTTTCACACAGCGCAGTCAGTGGTGTTACTGCATTCGGTTTCTTGCGTCTAGTTGTTCATTCTCGTTCCATTTTGATTAGCTTAACGCACCTTCTTGTTTCCATTTGCTTCCACGCTATTTACATTCATCACCACTATTTTGATGTTGTTATTTATTGTTATTCTCTCTATGTGGGTCGTGGCAACTGTTTTCACCACACTTCGGTGCTCGGCCCATGGTCTAAAGGTAACAAGCTTGTCTTGTAATCTGGCGGTTTGGGTTCGAGCCTGTGTAGCGGCAGAGCGACCCTCGCAGTATCCTTAGTCTAGGTGCGACCGGTGGTGGTTGCGCGGCAGCGAAGCGTCCTTACTGCTTACCGGCTTGCTGCTAATGCTTTTGTTCGACTGTGCTGAACTAAACTGGTGAGACGAACTTTTGTTGTCAGGTGAAATCCCTAATGACCACAGCTCACCAGTCTGCCACTTGCAACATATCATGGTGTTTTGGTGTTTGTGCAGTTCGAGTGAGTGAATCTACGCCTCTCTATTTACTTCTTTTCTCATACTTAGATGATCACACTGTGTGTGAAGGCCTGCGCACCGAGTACGATGAATCCACACGGACAATGCGAACCTACAACTACTTCGTCTGTCCAGACGATCCGAATCAACCGTTTGAACGGTACTGTTGTACGGATCATCGCAATTCCGGAGGCTTCTGCTGCTCCTACGATGAAAAGGCGTAAGTCTCAATTGATGTCTCTTGAAAAAAAATTTCGTCGTTTTGCCCTAATTCACCTGTTTTTTTTGTTGCAAGTTGCGCACACTATACGCCCGAAAGCATTACTTGATGTACTGTGGTTTGTAATCCGATGGTTTCATCGTCACCATATCACCGCCTACAAACTTTCTGGTCCGTAACTTGATGGTTCAGAAATTGAGCTTGAAATCCACTGGTTAACAGCTTCGAATCTATGTATGGGCGGCGATGTCGCAGTATTCCTGCCAGCATGCATCCAGTGGTGCTTGTGTGGCAGCGAAGCGTCGATGCGAGGTTCCGGCTCCTACTGATGCACTTTCGACCTACAAACTATCCTTGGTATTCCATATGCGAACCGATTGCGGTGTATAGAACACACAAACAGTTTGCACCTGTTTTGCTCCGACGAGTAATCTATTATGCGCGACTTACTTCTCAGCTGTGCCGAACACCTTTGCCGAATTTTAACATCTTTGTCGCCGTCAAAGTATTCACCCGCGTTTTAATTGCCGTCGGCGCAGATACACACGGTAGTGCTTGCATGTTTTCCTGATTGGTTTCATATTTGTTTATGGTATAAGTTGGACATGTTCTGTGCACACCGGGTGGTGGTAACATTGCATTCGTCCGAATGTCCTTCGAATTAATCCTTATCTCTGTGCTCGGTGTGTTCACTGAACTCGGCAGTTTTGCTGCAACTGTTTCATCACCAACCGAACTGACATCACCAATGCGCTATTACGTAGCGGAGCGGCGCGATGCGAATCGTGAGTGTGCGTCGTGTAGTCGTGTCCTTGATCGATCGTCAAGCGAGTCAGTCTGAGTTCTGGTTATTCGACTGCCACGTGACCATCAGAGTTGATCCCTCTGATTCGTGCGTCTTAAGGTTTGCACGTATATTTCTGCGGTTGACGTCGTCTTCCGACGCGCTTTGCTGGCGTTCTGTTCCCTTTAGGTTTGGTGGATTAAGTTTGTGATTTCTCATCCGTAATCCCGCGTACCTCACATTTATATAGACGCCTCGATTGCTTAAATTGGGTGTCAAATACTATGCCTCCATGAATTCTCTCTAAGTTAAAGTAGTTGACTTCTTCATCTTCATGCATGAAAACCAATGGATGTGGGTCAAGTCTCCTTATGGCCCTTTTGTGTTTGGTGATCCGTGTTGAAAGTTTCCTTCCAAATCTGATCTTTGTCACATTCTTGGCAGCTTATCCTGTACATGACATCGTTCTGATGGCTCTGTTTGATCTTGTGCTTCGGTCTTGAGAGCAGTGTCTCATGGTAGCATTTGGTTTGTGGGCTACCAAGATTCTATTAGTTCTTAGCAATCTCGCTGTCATTTCGAACGACTTCTTCTTGTAAGGAAACACTACTTTCTGTTTTAGAGGCAATCTTTTCTTCAGTATTCTTCTTGGGTATCCGTTGTTGTGCAGTATTTGGTATAGATGGTTCTCTTTCTTCCTTCTCTATCCCGTCGTGCAACACTATGTTTCCGCCTTTCTGAAGAAGCTTTGGATACAGCTGTTATTGCGATTCAGTGACTGGTTGCTTCTTTAGTTTAATATCTGACCCATATGTGTCTTCTTCCGATAGACACAGGGTCCTACAAAGGAATTGAAAAAAGTACGGTATTGTCGGTAATGAATAAGAATCAAACGGAGGTTTACAACTATCTTGGGCCTGTGAAGCACTACCTAGGACCGGGTAAATGTCACAATACGTACCCGAAATCAACGCTCTCGCTGAGGATCTATGAGCTACTGAGGCTCCATAAGTCCAACGTCCCCATTCGGCTCATTGTGCATGGCATCAGTTCTCCGACCCACGAACTAGACAGATATCTGGCAGGTTTGTTGAAGCCCCTTACAGGGCAAACAAACACGTTTGCGCGAAAGGGTACAAGTTTAATCATAATGCTCAGCTTCGTTCAGCCGGTGGCCAAGTGGTCTGCACGCCTGGTTTGCAATCATAAGGTCGCCTGTTTGAATTCGCGTAGGGTCCGGCTTTCTCGCGATATCCTCAGCCCACGCGCGACTGTTGGTGATCGCGCGGCAGCTAAGCGCAGTTACGGCGTGTGACTGACAATATTCTGTTATTTTTTCGACGTTAGCTCACTACTTACGAAGAAAATAGAGGTAGTATAGCGCTGTCTGACCGAAGACAGTGGCTTGGGGGATAGAAGGAATTTCACAGTAGACCAAATAGTCGAAGGAATTAAAGTCTGTCTCAGTATGTCATACTTCCCATTAGTCGAGGCTTTACGCTCAGCACGCTGTGACAGCTCCGAAACGTGCCAAGCAGCACTAAATAGATTACCACTGTCTGTCAGTTGTTTTGGATTTTGTTTTGCTCTTTCAAAATGCAAGGTCCTTCTCCCAATGGGCGCGATTCCCTGAATTCGCCCCGCTACCTTAGGTGTAGGATATTCAGCCGAAGTCTGGTGGACCAGTCGGGCTCAAGAAATGGAGGAGTGCAGGACCAGTAGGCAATTACCGCAAGCTCTTCCAGCTAATCCGCAGCACTGGTCCCAGAAAACCAGGCGTCAGTAAGACAATCAGAGACAGCGCGGATACGCTGATACACAATAAGGAGCGCCGTATGGCTCGTTGGGCGGAACACTTTCAAGATCAGTTCAGCTGGCCCCCTGCTCCTGGACCTCTTCCTACTCAGGTAATGCAGGACGAGCCATGGACGGTTAGTTTAGAGCCTCCGTCTGAGGCCGAGGTCCTAAACGCGATCACTGCCCTCAATCGTTTTCGTGCCGCTGGCCTGGATTCCCTCCCACCTGCACTATTTAAGGATGGAGGTAAGGTCCTCTGCAAAACACTGACCTTCTAATTCGAATGTACCTGGAAGGAAGAGTGTCCTGGCTAACTGGAGCGAATCGATTATAGTGGCAATATACAAAAAGGGCAGTCGCACAGACTGTTCTAACCATAAGGGTATTAGCCTAACGCCAGTTGTGACAAAAGTACTGACCTCATTTCTCGTTCGTCGGCTCACTGTGGAACGGGAATCTCGGATTAAGGAAGAAAGGCAGGTTTCCGCCCAGGACGTGGCTGTATAGGCCATATATTCACTCCGCGGCACGTGCTAAAGCAGCGCCAGGCATACCGCAGACCGACAATAGCTGTGTTCCTCGATTTTAACAGTGCGTCCGATTCAGTCGATCGATCGATTATGTTCGAAATACTTGCGCGGAAAGGTGTTCCCACGAAATATGTGAACATCCTTCGTGCTCTATACTCGAACATTACAGGCCGCGTCAGGGTTGTCCGATTTCCCCATTTTTGTTCAATTTCGTCTTGGATTCTATCATGGAGTTTTTCCTTGCGGAATCTCACGATGTAGGCATTGAAGTGCTGCCAGGTGAAAGATTAGTTGCTCTAGATTATGCATGCGATATCCTCTTGCTTTTCGACAATGTCGGGGCGGCCCAATTGACCCTGAATAGCCTCTCTGTAGTGGTCCCATTATTTGTTATGCACTTCGCACCTTCAAAGTGCGAAGTGTTGCTGCAGGACCACTAGCCACTTTATGACCCCTTGACGCTTGCTAACGATGAAATCGAGGTGGTTGGTCAATTCACTTATCTTGGCAGCTGCATCAGCAATTATGGGCGCATAGAAACTGACGTGAGCTCACGCATTGCAAAGTCCAGAGCTGCCTTCTTGAACTTTCGGCATCTTTGGCGACAGAGGGAAATTTCCCTCCCTCTGAAAGGCCGTGTATACAAGGCCACAGTGAGGATTGTCCTGCTCTATATTAGTGAAACTTAATCCCTTCGGTCTGAAGATCTGAGGCGCCTTCAAGTCTTTGATCATCATTGTCTGCGAAGCATTGCTGGTATCGGATGGCACCAGCGTGTCCGCAACGATGATGTGCGTAGGCGTGTACTAGGTAGTGATAATCATGCTAGCTCCTTAGACCAACAGATAGCACTGAATAAGTTGCGTTGGCTCGGGCACGTGCTACGTATGCCTGGTCCCCGCCTACCTAGGAGGGCCTTGTTTAGCCTGCCAGGTGTAGGGTGGCGCAAGGCTCGAGGTGGACAGAAGTTGACTTGGCAGCGGGAAATGAAGTCACTGACGACCAAACTGGGTGCCGTTGGTCCGTCTCGCCTTCCAGGCTGGAGTCCACGTAACTCGCCTTGTGCTTGGCTCGAGACGTTACAGAACATGGCTCGCAGTAGACACCTGCTGCTGTCTCCTAATCGGATTACCTATTTCAAGTGTGTTTGGTGCTAAGTTATCTGCGGGGTAATGGCTGATTATGACGCGTGGCAGTGAAAGCCGCAAGGAAGCTGTCTCGCCGATGCCGCCTTATCTTTGCACGATGGCCAGCTGTTTGTGACGGTATGTTGTCTACGCAAGGTGTAGGCGCCTTGACCTTGCTTTGCTTAGGGCATTAAGGTTTTCAGTTAAGTCCCCCTTCTCTCCCTCTTCTTATTCTTTATTTCATAGGTCCTCATGGTTGTATGGCAGCGAAGCAACAGTTCAAATGGCTGATGTACTGCTGTTGATGATGATGGTGCAAAAATGACCGATTCTACAAGCGCATTCCAAGAGCGACACACGCGGACGGAAAATAAATTCCTGCGGCAATCCAAAAGGCTGTAAATTTCTGACAGTTTTTGTGAATGACCTATTAAGTTGATATTACTGCTGTGTTGCAGGAAGAACGGTGCACATGGTGTGGATCGTGCAGAATTAAGTACACCATTATGAAATCACCGTGTAAGCGGCTGTAACGTCCGTTGAACACCCACAATCCTTCCCGCCTCTCCTCGTTTGTAAGATGGTGCATTCCAATAACATTCTTTGATGCTCGACTTTGGGGATGCTCCAATGCACTATGGTCGTGTTTTAGCCATGGGTGCCAGGTTTGAATTGCATATGCGACATGAGGACGAACATACGCACTAAGCATCTGCCGGAAAATAGCGCGATCTATCTGTCCGGATGCCCATCGTCACAGGC